ACCCTAGGTCTTCTCCCCTACCCTAGGTCTTCTCCCCCTGCCCTAGGTCTTCTCCCCCTACCCTAGGTCTTCTCCCCCTACCCTAGGTCTTCTCCCCCTACCCTAGGTCTTCTCCCCACCCTAGGTCTTCTCCCCTACCCTAGGTCTCTTCTCCCCTACCCTAGGTCTTCTCCTCGCTCTAGGAGCCCTTTCTTACCAGTCTCAGAGCTTGTACTGCTTGGTTCCTCTTACTTATGTATTTGTACTGCTTGGTTCCTCTTACTTATGTATTTGTACGGCTTGGTTCCTCTTACTTATGTATTTGTAGAGGAACAAGTTTATTTCCTGTCGACCAAGTAGTCACAGCAGTAAGTACAAGTCAAATAGTCAATGAAGACAACAAGAAGCAAGCAAGAAGTTCAGCCTTACGGAGCCGCGTTGAGACACCAGAGAACGGGAGCTGTTCGCGGTCAAGTGGGCTGTCGAGACTACGTCTGCCTCTCCGACTTCACCGTCTAACGGGCTATGGTGGATCCACCTCAGGACAAAGAAGATATACGTCCCCCGTCAGTCGAGCACACGGCTGGTCATCGCGTCCCCCCTCGGTCCGAGCGGCCACCTGAGAGTCGCCAAAGCGCGCAAGAGTGTCCAAGCCCTGAACTACTGGCCCGGCTGCGCCCAGGACATCGAGAAAATGATCAGTGAGTGCCTCGTCTGCGCGAGACTGAAGACACCACCGGTGCGCCAGCAAGGACTACCGACAGGGACGCTGGGAAAGGTTGCCACGATACACGCAGGAGTCGCCCACTGGAACGTCCTCGTCATCATCGACCCCGTATATGATGGCCAGAATCGTTCCAGCGTTGGATGTCACGCAGACTTTCTTTCAGGACCTTCTACCGACACTGGGAAGTCCCGTTCGGGCCCCCGCAAAGAGTACTGACGGACAACGGCAGAAGCTTCCGAGGAACCACACGACGTCGTCAGAAACGACCGCCAGAGGAAGAACCACCGACCGACCTACGACCAGGAGACATCGTCGTAATATTCGTCGACCTGGGTTCGTCCCTCAGCGGACCAGAGGCGCCACGTGAGGACACAGAACTCTATCAATAATACTCGAGGACGAGACCGCAGAGCGGAATGACCGGAGGCAAATCACCACGTATAGCAATCGACCCCGAAACGCGCGAAGGTCTAGAACACTTCCTGAGCATAGCCCCGAATTCCTTCTGGGCGTGAGCCATCAATGGACACGTCTGGTTGTGACCCGAGGGCTGAGTGGGGTGTGGAGGGTTCACAACATACAAAATAACTCTACCGAAGGCGACCGTTCCGGTCGCTGACTCTGACGGCTGACGGAAGCAGATTTCAAGTTGACTTGGCCACATTACCGCGACGTTGAACTCGGTAGCTAAGCACTCGGCAGCTAAGCTCAACTCGGTAACCAAGTGTATGACGGGAGAAGATACGGCCTCGGTATGTACATTCGGCATCTACATAAAAAGAGTCGTCGCCAGTAGGGACCCAGAGAGTCTTAAAAGAGTATCCAGCACAACCGCATTGGCGCATCAGCTTGCCCCCCTTAATTCGTGTCCGACAAAAACCTAATTAGATTTCCCTGTTCTGTGTCTGGCAAGTTCCAATGTTCTGGGAAACTTGTGTATGGCTGTTCTAAGATGCCACTGGACCAATCAGCCAATAGTTTTGAGAGTGGTGGTATTGCTTATGTGGAGCTGGGTTCTATCATTTCAACATATTTCCTACGGCGTTGCAGATGTCAGAATTAAGGACGTAATCGAACAGCTGGAGGAAGCTTTGGCGGAATGCCTGATGTTAGCTGACCGAGACAGATTCGGTTAGAGCTGTAGATGCAGCGCAGCGTGATTCAAGACACATCTTTCTTGGCGTGATGCAAGACACATCTCTCCTGGCGAAGAAAAAACGAGCGAGCGCAAGTCGACACCTGGACGGACCTGGCAAAGGTGCGCATCAAATACAGCGCAGGCAGCATCCCGGCTGCGTTGTGACCAAGTCGCAGGGATAAGTCAAAGGCCGGCCCAGACTTGGAACTCGAGCACATCCGGTTCGACTAGACAAGCACCATCAGGACAGCTAGAACGGAGTCGGGAGAACAACTTGACTGTACTTACTGCCATGGCACTAGTTAGTTGGGGCGGGACGGTCAATTAAAAATCGTTGACACCGTTCGTCTGTTTGTTGGGATCGAAAATGTTAGCGGTACCTCAGCGAGGAAGGTCATTCCCGGTGCGGAGATGTTGTTTATTGGGTATGTTTCGTGAGGCTCAGGTAGCGGTTGAACAGCCAGGAACTCGGACTCTGAATGTGTTGGAGAGGGTATCCACTGTCGACGGAGGCGGTTGGGATTGGTCAAAGGCCTCAGGAGGAGACTATGAGTCGTACTGGATGAGTCGCTTTTGGGTGCCTTTGGACGAGAAGGGATTCGACTTGCTCTTCCCCCGAACTTTAGCCAAAGGACACCGTCGCCGACACGCCTGGGCACGCAAAGAGGTTGCGTTCGTTGATATTCTCGCGAACTCCTCGCTTTCACAGCCGTGGGCATTGACAACAGAGCCGGTACGTCCCAATTACATTCCTGTCCTAGCCAGAGGAGGACCGAGTAGCAAACCGGCTGGGTCCGAAAGAGTGCTGAGCGACTTCGAAGCATATCGAGCATTGCATGGATCGATGCCCCAACATGCTTGGAGGAGACTCAGAACTATTGATACCCGTAGTTTCGAAACGTGTGCACTCGCTTACGTGGAACTAGGCACTATCATTTCCCAGTATTTCGAGTCTCCTTATGGTCTTGTGGATCAGGATATCAAGAATGACATCGACAAGATGATGCCTTTGAGCAACGTGAGACATGCTACGAACCGGCGGCGCCTGTGGACCGTAGGATGTCTTCTGCAACATGCCCGGGCGTCCATCTCTCGGCTCGCTCAATTTTGCGTTTTTGACTTGGGATACTGCCCTAGAAGGCCACAGGATGGTCCCACGCTGCACTGTCTCCAGTTCGAAGGACGTGCCACTGTTTCCGAAAAAGATCCTCTATTACGATCGCAGTTGCTTGAGGGCTACCTGACCGGACTCCCAGTGGTCTCGGCGCGAATATTCGCAGAACTAACTGGAAGGCAGCTGATAGACTACATGCGCCGCGCATCGGAACAGCCGGCCAGAGTCGGTGCTGCGGCCAGAGTGGGTGCTGCGGCCAGAGTGGGTGCTGCGGCCAGAGTCGGTGCTGCGGCCAGAGTCGGTGCTGCGGCCAGAGTCGGTGCTGTGATCCAAAAGCCGGTGGTCGATGTGCGGATGGTCGGAAGACCG